GGTGGTGTAACTTTGGACCTGATTCTTCACAAGGCAGATGTTTGAGTTTTTCTAGATCAGGGGAGATCTTGTTTTCTATTCAAACTGTGAGCAAAGCCAATCTTCTTGTCCTCCTCTAAAGCTTGACGGGCAGGGATCTCGGGGGGTTGAGGGAGGAGAGCCTGCCAAGCTGCTGTCATTTTGCAGGGGCTTGGGGGTTCTGTTTGACCTCTCTGCATCATTTCCCCTGTGGATGTGCAAACCTGGCCCCTACCTAGGAAGCTTTGTTTGACTCATGTGTTCCTGGGATACCATAACTTCAGCTCTTTCACTTTAATGCTCTGATTAAATGTTCCTTATTTTTCCCATTTTATTTTGCCCCACATTTCTATGTGCTTTTCACGGGAAGGGAGATCCTGTAAATTCAGTCTTACCATGTTGCCAGACCACAAGTCCAAGACTTACAACTTCTCAAAAAAGAAAAAAAAAAACCTACTTTCTCTTACTTTTAACTTTCCCCCAACGCAATGCCTAAAGAGATGCATGTACATTAAATAAGTACATAATCAGATACCTATGGGATTTTAAAAACAATTGAGAATGAAAGTCTTTGCCTAGCAAGTTGTTATCTTGAGTTGCTTCTAGATAGATAGATGGACTCCTGTAATAATTAGACTTTCAATTATTCATTTTCAATTAGGATCATGGCATAATGATCGCAAATGTCATTAAGAAATTGAATCGTGTCTAATGCTGGATTAATATTTCCTGGGATCACTCCTTTCTTTAATGTCTGGAAACCAGACATCCTCAATTAGAAGAGCAAGTATTATGGCAGAACTTTTGAAAGTTGCAAAATTAGAGTGTAGGTCAGCCTTCAATGACTTGAGAGTATGTGACTCTGTTCCCCTCTTGGGACAAATATCTCCAACCTAATTTTTCCTGGGTGTGGGAGTCGAAGTCACATGGATGTGTGTTCAAATCTTTGCTGTGCCACTTCCTAACTTGTATCTTTGATAGATAACCTCAGCCCAGGCTAAATCTCCTCCCTCCCCATCCTGCAGCCAGAAAAGCACAGGTAGGAAGCACATTTGTGAGCCTACCCTGTGCTTTCCCTGCGCCTCCTTACTCACCATACGCATGGGTTGTCTGCAACTCACTTCCTAGGCATTTTCTCAGATGGACAGCAGAGTAGAATGCAAATAGACAGTGTGCTGGAAATTATTGATGCAAAGTAAGTGCTTATGCAATGAGTGAATAATGCTGCAAGGACTGCTGATAATAACTGGATATTCCCTACTAGGTGTTAGTTACTGGAATACTTACCTCTGGTACATTAATATTAGTGATTTAAATGACTCATTTTATCTTCAAAACCATCTCTTGAGAGACCTCCTATTTTCATATGGGAAGCCATCTTGGGAAAGTTAGGTAAATCACCCACGAGGCTGTAGCTAGGGCATGACAGATCTGGCATCCAGTTCTACATCTCTGCTTTTAGATGAACAACTTATTAGCATTGTATATAGAGATAATAATAAAGCTGGGGGAGTATTTTTCAAGGAAATAAAGTGTGAATTTTGTGATATGTTGGGTGGCTCCGAGGTTTTTTTTTTTTTTTTTTGTAAAATTCTTATTTCTCAGGAGAGTTTCAGCTTGCTGAGTTTGCTAGGTAGATAAATCTGAAATAAGACCCAGTGCAGCGTCTGGCATATAGTTGGGGTTAATAAATACTTAATCATCTAATCAATTCATTAATAATATTGTTACTGGCTGAAGGTTATACGGTAATGGAAGCATGGTAGAAAATGTGCGGTCTGTATTTAGAGTTAGAAGGGCCCATTTCAAATCTTGACTTGCCTGCCTTTATTAACTCTATGCTTTGGGCAGATGGAATAATCTCTCTGTGTCTCAGTCATTTCTTCATCTGTCAAATGGGGATAATCCTAATATCTAGTTTCTGTGAGGACTAAATATGTTAACATGCATAGTGTACTTAGACTAGTCCCTATGTGCAAGATAAAAGCTATTATGTGCTAGATACTATGTGCTAGATAAAAGCTATTAATCGTATTATAAGTACTCAAGCAAAATAGGAATTCTTATAAATATTGTTACTCTGTGCTACTAGAGTTCTTGCAAATGAATCTCAATAAGATCTTGAGGCTCAAATTGTTGCTAAAGAACAGGTCAGAACACCTGGGTCCCACCGATAACATTAGCTGCAAGTTGGAATTCAAAGGACATTCTTCCCCTCTCTCAGTTTTGAAACCTATAACCAGCTTCTGCTATCAGAGGGTTGTGGCTAAGGGAAGTAACACATCAAAAGGAGTGGAGTGGAGGAAGGGAAACTTGTCTTCCCACAAAGGAACAAAAACAGCCCATTATTCAAAGTCCCTGCTGAAAGGGAAAAAAAAAAAAACTCTTTGCAGAAAAAGTTGACCATATTTTGTGGAAGATACTGTAGTTTCCATGGTAATTAATGGTGTTAAGTGCACTTCATAACTCAAAGGTCTCTAGTGAAGATGGAGACAGGAGAAAGGTGTGTGTGGTTTTTAAAAATAGTATTTGAAGATTTTTCTCTGAAAATCCTTTTACTGCCTCTATTGGGCAGGAGCTTTATTTTTGAACCCTTGGAAAGATGTGCAAAGTGACTTTAGGGATGGAATTATAGATACAATTGAGACACCCAAAATAGTCTATCCCCAAGGTATAAAAACCTTGGAAAGATCTTTGTCCATTTACTCTGTGCAGCCTGTCAAATGTCCTCCTCTGTCTCCGGTGCAAGGACTCTAATACTGGGGTCCCTGGCCACATGGACTGGCCACAAGGGAGGAGGTCAGGAACTCTCACGAGGGAGAGTTTGCAGGTCCCTGCTCTCACTCCTGAATCATTTAGGCCATTCAGTGCAAATTCAGTTATCACATATTTAGAAAAGCCTACTATGTGCCAGGTACGCTATTGGGAGCTTTGTACAGGTATCTTGCCTCATTCTGAGTCAAAGTCACAGTATGGCACCTTGCCAGGGTCTGGGCCTCAGAGAAGTCCAATGAAATTCCACAGGTCATAGGGACACTTCTGGGCAGGCTACCACAAATTTCCCTATGAGCCAAGTTACCTCAGCTTCTTCTGTTTTCAACGAGACAGAAGGTTCAGCCCTGTGGCTGTAATGGGCCAGAGTAGGAGCCATCCAGCTCAGCAGGGTTTCAGTCCTTTCGTGAAGGTTCCATCAAAGGGACAGGCACCTCTGCTGCTCTTTGCCTTTTCCCACTGTTCTGTACCTCTAAACAGGGGAGGAAAGAACATGTAACCTAAGACCCTTCAAAGTTCTGATGCTCTGGGAATATGCAAAATTATTTCATCGTTATTTAGTCTTTGGATTAAAAAATGAAAATTTCCTGAAGGCCATGCATTTGGTGCAGAAGGGCCTGGGGAGTGCAGTGCAAATAGTGCAAAGGCATGGGAATACATCTGGGTTAAATCCTGTCCCTACCACTCCTCACCAGGGAAGAATCGAAGCAATCACTTATTTCTGTAGCTGTAGAATGACTTATTGATGGCTGCACTGAGTGCTGTCATAAGTATCAGCAATGATGTCCTGAAGCACCCAGGCCGGACCTGGACCCATTGGGTCTTCAGGAGACAGACCCATGTGAAGGATGCTTCCTACTGCAGGGCAGGGAGCCAGAGCTGCTGAGTCACTGCTCGAGGCCTGGAGTTGCATGCTGAATTCTGTTCTCCTCTGTCCAAGTCTCAGCTTTAACTTCAGATATGATATTCTCACTAGAAGATGAACCTTGTCTTTTTGTTTCATTCTGAATTTTTTGAATATTTTATTGTGATATATAGTTTTCATACCAAGAAGTATGCCACTCGTATATGTAATCACAAATGAACGCCCATGCCCTGACCACAGAGTGCAGGAGAACGGTGATAACTCTCCCAAAGCCTTCTTAGGCTCTCGCAGTCCCACACTTCTGTTTACCCCCACCTGCAGGTGACCACTCCCTTGCCTTTGGTGAGAATGCCATCTCTCTTTTCTTTATCCATCTGCCAGCTCAGTGGGTGTGCCTAAACTATCACTCAGATTCACCTATTTTTGTACTTCGTGTAAATGGAATCATGTTAGTATTCTCGTATGGCTGTTCCTCTTTGCTTAAACCCTGATTTTAAAATTCGTTCCAATTTTGTATAGTTCAAGTTTGTTCGTTTTGCTGGTATAGAATTCCATTGTACAAGTATCCAGAAATTATCCATTCTACTGCCAAGGGGGCTGGGAGTTGTTCCCGGTGTCTGGCTGTTATCCATGATCCTGTGGACATTTTTGTAGAGGCCTTTGGGGTATGCCTATCTGTTGATTGTGGAATTACTGAATTGCAAGCCTGCCCCCTTTAACTTCACTGGATAATGCCAAATGCTGTCCCAAAGTTTGCTCCCTTGTCTTTTTATTAACTCGTAATGGGGAGACAGCTCTACCAGTCCCCTGCGGAAAAGCTCCAGGTTCCTTATGTCTAACATCTGATAAATCAGGTCATCTCACAAGGTCATTAAAAGACGGAATGAAATAACATCTATGTACTTAGCAATGTCATAATGATAACTAACATTTACTGAGTACTCTGTAAATGCACTCCATTTATCTGGCCCCTCTTTTGCCCTTTCCATGCATTTCCTGTGTATCTTGGCCTAAAATTATGTAAGGACTTAACTTCTTATGCTGCTTTCCCTTCCTCCCTCCCTGCTTGTCTCCCTTTTTTTTGGTTTGTTTTTTGTTTTACATGATCATTTCTATTACCAGCTAATTTTGAACACCAATTTTTTTTTTTGGGGGGGGGAGGTGGATAGTATTTTTATTTATTTTTTTAATGTTTAATATATTTTATTTTATATAGTTCTTACATCATTTTTCATTTTTGCACAATGTATGCATTTTCATTTTGGTTATACTCCCCATACAATTCCCACCCCCCTTATTTTGACCCTAATCCCTCCTCTCCCCCCTCCACCCCCGTAGTGTCTCTGGTTTATAGTTGCTTGTTGATTTAATTGGAATGATACAGAGAAGATTATCATGGCCCCTGCGCAAGGATGACACGCAAATTCATGAGGCCTCCTTTCCTTTTTAAGGACTGTGTGCTGTGTGCTTTTTATGTGTCATCTTATAACCTTCCCAGCAATTCCATATGTCGTTTCTATTATTGTCTCTAGTTTTCAGATGAAGAAACCGAGGCACAGAGACATGAGGTGAGTTGCCCAAAGCTCCCAGTTAGTAATGGTGGAGCCAGGGTTTCTGTGCTTGCCTTCCGCCTCCAGGAAGAGCACCCAGCTAGGACTCAGCTTGAAGGAATGTATCTGGGGCCAGTTAATGTCCTGTGGATGGTTGCCCACCAACTTGTCTCCTACTTTGGGCTTTGCTCCTAAAGCCTGCGCTTTTACAGCAGATGGTGTTTCTTCTTTCAATGTGTGAAGACAGACTCGGAGCCTGAGGAACTTCAAAAAGTCAATCAGTCAGCAAATAGGCAGTGGCCACAGGGCTCTTACTGCACAGCAGTTCCTGCAGCATGTGGAGGGAAGCTCTGACTAAGCAATTCCAGGGCTATCCGAAAGATCTCCAATGCAGCCCAAAAGATTGGTGCAATATTAGAGCACTCAGAGCCGTGAGGAGACAGCATTTTAGGAGATGGCTTTCTTTATTCAGAGGCAAAGATGAGGAGCCATGTAGTTGAAGCACTTCTGCCTAGAGAAATCAAGGAAGGCTTTCTGGAGGAGGTAGTCTTCAGGCCTTGCTTCTTTAAGAACTAGATTCTACTCTTAGCGTGATGGCCCGCTGTTACAGAAATCTTTTTTTTCCCCCAGATAATCTTTCTGGACACTGCTTTCCTTCAGCCTAGACAGTTGCTGGTCACTGAAGAAAGCCCTGGGCTGAGTCTCTTTCCCTGTCTTTCCTTTCCCTCACCCCCGCTGCTAGACTGCTGTGGATACAGGCTTGTGAAAGAGAGCACTGTTTGTTTTATAACAGGAGCTTAACATGATTCATTTCAGATTCCCCAAGGACTTTTGTAAAGTTTGGACTGAGTCATAATATATTTTTTTATTAAACTCCAAGACCCAACAAGCAGGAAGCTCTGTTCGACAACATAATATAACTGATGTACTGCAAAGCAGACTTTTTTATGGGTGAGCCTTCAAGCTGCTCCAGAAACTCTCTGCCCTCTCCTGTCACTGCCTGGTACAGGAGGGAGATTAAAAGTGCTTCAGAGGTGTGTCATACCACTACACACACACACACATGCACACACGCACACACAGGTCCGGTCCCTCCTAATACTACAACCAGAAACTGAAGGTTTCAGGAGCAAAGGAGACTCCTCTGCACCCCACCTTCAACCTCCAACAAGCATGCCCATATTTTCCAGCCCATATTTGAGCAGACTGAGAGGTGCTTCCCATCCACCCAAAAAAGAGCTATAATGTGAGGTAAGATTCCCCCCTCAGACCAGTTCCCGCAGCATCTCTGGCACGTCCATGATTCTCAGGCTCCATCACAGACTCTCTGAGTCACAATCTCTGAAGGTGGGATCCTGGAATTTGTGTTTTCAGAGACTTGCCAGGTGATCTGAGGCTTATAAAGTTGGAGAACCAGGGGCATAGGGCCTTGTTACCCCAAGTGCAGTCCTCGGATCACCTACACCCACATCATTTGGGAGCTTGTCAGAAATGCAGACTGGAGTTTCTTCAAAGACCTGCTAAAGCAGAATCTGCGTCTAACCAGACCGCAGATAACTCTTACCCACATCAAAGTTTGAGAAACTGCTACTGTAGGACACCACTGGGCCCACTTCCACCAGTTCTACGATGGTGTACATGACCTCCAGCCTCGTTGTCCTGACTGCTAAACACAGAAGACCACTGTCCGGGTCGCCCTGTGTTTAGAGAATGCCTCCCCAACCCCTGCTACCTCCTTTCTTCCTCCTCTCCCTGGGGGACCTCCTGCCAACCCCACCCCCCAAAAATATTTGCCCTCTCTGGACACAGCAGTAGTGTAGCAGCTCTGAACTCACAGCCCTCCCTCCTCTTGTGTTTCTGTTTTTCTCCTGATTAAATATCCCCACCGCAGTTGGCTAGAGTGCTCTAGTTCTACCAGTGGAGTGGTTCACACGTTTTCCCCTTTGAAGTGTCTTGTTTTTTCTTTAAATTTAGCACTGCCTTGTGACCAGGGCATGTCTAGTGACCCCTAGCTCACAAATCAGAAGGAGGGTCTCTTCACTGCTATTCTAGAGACCCCAAAAGCTACAGTGTGGGGATGCATGTGAGGACAGCATCAGACTTTTGCGGCAGAGTCTTCTCATGCACACGATAGTACTTTAAAAAAGGAGAACGCAAAATCCCGTAAAGATGATAAATTGTGGAGAAGTGCTAATAATGACCTCAGAATCCCAGCTCCTCCTCCATCCCCTGCTTCCTACTGTGTCATGGACCCTTGATGGGAACAAGGAGTACACAGAGCCCCTTCAGTGCCCCAGATGAAAGACCACGAAACCAGACATGAGGGGTGGGGAGGGAGAGAGGCCATACATTCACTGACCCTTCCTGGAGCCACCAAAGGGGAGACAGAGAAATCAAAGCCCTCCCGAGGCCCCAGCTCCAGACAAGTGGCGATTTCCCTTCCCAGGGTGTAGAGTTTAAAAAATGCACCAGGCAGGTCTGCTTCAGGCAGTGGGGGGGCCCTCAAGCTGCCCCAAGGGCCAGTATTGGGATTGCTGGTCCAAAAGGCTGTTTGGCAGTAAGATTCAAGAGTCTCAAACACATTACCTCCTTTGACCCGGTAATTCCACTTCTGGGAATCTGTCCTAAGAAAATAATCTGAAACACATACAAAATCTTAGGCACGGGATGCTCCTTGAAGCTTTAATTTTAAGAGTGAAAAATTGGAAACCACTAAATGCTTCTCTATAGGGAATGGGTGAGGGAAATTGTGGTTTATTCATAGAATGGAATATTTTGTAGCCGTTAAAAATGATGTTTACAGAGTTTTTAACAACTTGGGGGAATGCTTACGGTAGACCATTAAGTGCAAAAGGCAGGATATAAAACCACACACACACTGTGTGATCTCAGCCATGTAAAATAATTAGAGAAAAATTACAGGAAGGAAAAACACACAAAATAACTGTTAACAGTGGTTGTCTTGGGTAGCAGGACTGTGGATGAGTTTTCTCCTTTCCACCTTTCTGCATTTTTGCTACATTTGGAAACGATTGTTCCTCAGCACTGGGAAATGTATTTATTTAAGCCTCCAAGCTGGTGAAGGGAAAAATCACCATTAGTTTGAGGTCTGGGGAGAGCTATGACAGCTGTTTTTCACTCCAGAACACAAATTGTTTTTGAAGTCAGAGGGAAAAAAAAAATTAAATAAATATTATTTACCAAATTAAAATCAAATAAAAAATAAATAAATAAGCATCTGTGTCCCTGTTGGGGAAAGCGTCTTCTCCCCAGAGCAGCAACTGCCTGTTTTCCTGCTTATCAGTTTTCAGGGATCTTATGAAACCAACCACTGTGAAATTGACTTCTAACTGATCTTAATTGAGATGGGGCCCAAACGCAAGGATCAGAAAGGAAATTCAGGACAGCCACCCCCTGGGCTGGGCCACACAGCCCCGGGTGGCAGATGAGCTGGGGTTACTCCCCAATTCTGGGCTCCACTGCTGTCGCTCATGAATTCCAGGTTCCGCCACCCACAGGCTAGTTTTTTCACTCAGTCAGGCCTGAGTAGGGGTTGACTCGACTGCCTGGGCCTGCAAGGATTGTTAGAAAGCTTGTAGTTTGAGGATTCCGTTCCTCCCTACCAACATGCTTGCTTGCTCGCTCGCGCGCACACACCTCCTCCTGGCCGCCACGTCCCTTCATACTGTCTGTCGCTGGCAGCGATGGTCTGCCACAGCCGGCACCTCGCCAGGTCTCCAGCGAGCGTCACCTTGTTTAATCTCCACAGTGACCCTGTGATTTAAGCCTCATTTTAGAGTGTAAAAGACTCAATTAAACACTCTACTTTCTGCCTCTCGTGAAGTTCCTGTGATTTCCAGGGTGAGTCTAGTCTCCCAACTGGGACCTCCTCCAACTTTGGATTGACCGTTACGTTAATGTTAAAAGCAAACAGCGTAGACCCAACCCACAGGCTGCAGGAGGGCCAGGGCCCTCGCTGGGCTGCCTGGCCAATCTTTCCCTATTTTCTGCCTCTCTCTGACCTCCTCCCTTTGAGCCCTCCAAACCTCTCTTCCAGCCATGCACTGTCAGATTCATTCACTGCTTTTTTATACAGAACAATATAACTCTTCTTTGTCTAAACCTGGGAGGCCTCCCATTTTATAACCAAGCAGGACCATTATGGTATTTTTTTTTTCTCTCCAAGAGTTCTTTCTCAAAGACACATTCTGATTTATTTCTAAGGCAGGCAACTTGCACTGTCCAGCATTTGTGATTTTGTGTGCATGTTGTGTGTGTGTCTGTGTGTTTCTTATTGTGCAAAATATGCTGCAAAATAGATATTGCACTGAAAAATATCTAACATAAAAATGAAGAAAACTAATACATGGAAATCAAATAAAACCACTGGTGTGATTTAAAGTGGTAACAATACAATGTGCTATTATACTCTAACAGGGTTGAACTTCTCCATAAGATGTTTTCTGAGAAAATGTAAATTACCCAAACTAAGTCAAGTATAAGTAGAAAAATATAAAAGAAAAAAAGATCCTATGCAAAGGGAACATTGAGAAAGTCTATAATGGAATGATTGATTTTAAAAAGACCCCAGGTTAAGATAATCTGAAACTTTCCGATTATCAAGATCAAATGATCAAATTATTCTCATGCTTACATAGTGGGATGGATTGCCTGGTTTGCCGTTTGCTAATTGCCTGACATGGATGAATTACTTAATATCTCTGAGGCTCAGTTTCCCTAAGAATTCAGCAAAGGAAATAGTCTTAGAAAGACAGAGTAGTCCAGGTGAGCTTCCTGGAGGAGCTGGCCTGTCATGAATTTGATTTAACAGAGTGGTTTCCAGTCGCCTTTCATATTCTTGCTCAGATCCCTTCCAATTAAGGGATAAACTTGCAAG